ATAACACAGATAATCACATACATATCATGATCGTGTGCAGTACCAATGTGATTATGATTATTATTACTATTAGTTTGTTCCTTATTCGTGTCATTCTGTTGATGATGATGATTAGTTCTGACATTCGCATTCTAATCATTACTAATCATATTATGTTGTTCATATCATTACAACTATATTCTTTATCATGGTGCTGTTGAAGATGCTGATTGGGTGATGATAATGATGATGCTGCTGATGCTCATGATGGTGATGATGCTGATGATGCTGATGCTGATGAGGAGGGTGATGATAATGATAACGATGCTGCTGATGATGCTGCTGATGATGATGCGGATGCTGCTGATGATGGTGATGATGATGATGATGATGAGGAGGCTGATTCTGCTGATGATGGTGATGGTGATGCTGAGGATGCGGATGCTGATGCTGCGGATGATGGTGATGATGACGATATTGATGATGCTGCTGCTGATGATGCTGACGAGGATAAGGATGCCGATGACGATGAGGATGTTGCTGCTGATGATGATGATGATGATGATGATGCGGTTGTTGATGCTGATGCTACTGATGATGATGATGATGATGATGATGATGATGATGATGATGATGATTATGATGATGATGAGGTGGATGCTGCTGATTATCACGATGTTGATGATGATGCTGATGATGATGATGATGATGCTGATGCTGATGCTGATGCTGAGGATGCTGATGCTGATGATGCTGATGATGATGACGCTGCTGCTGACGATGATGCTCATGATGCTGATGCTGCTGATCATGATGATTATGATGATGCTGATGCTGATGCTGATGCTACTGCTGCTGCTGATGCTGATGCTGCTGATGATGCTGATGATGCTGATGCTGATGATGCTTCTGGTGATGGCGATGATGCTGGTGATGCTGATTATGATGTTGCGGATGAGGATGATGACTGTGTTGTGGATGCTGATTTTGCTGCTGCTGCTGATGATGATGACGGTACTGATGATGATGATGATGCTGATGGTGCTGATGTTGATGGTGATGATGCTGTTGCGGATCTTGATGATGATGCTGCTGTTGCTGATGGTGATATTGATGATGACGATGATGATGATGCTGTTGCTGATGATGCTGATGAGGCGGATGCTGCTGATTGTCATGCTGCTGATGATGATGCTGATGTTGATGATGATGCTGATGCTGATGCTGATGCTGAGGATGCTGATGCTGATGATGCTGATGATGATGATGACGCTACTGCTCATGATGATGCTGCTGGTGCTGATGCTGCTGATGATGATGATTATGCTGATGCTGATCATGATGATGCTATTGTTGCTGCTGATGCTGATGCTGCTGATGATGCTGATGATGCTGATGCTGATGATGCTGATGCTGCTTCTGGTGATGACGATGATGCTGGTGATGCTGATGATGCTGATGATGCTGTTGCTGATGATGCTTCTGGTGATGGCGATGATGCTGGTGATGCTGATTATGATGATGATGCGGATGAGGATGATGACGGTGTTGTTGATGCTGCTGCTGCTGCTGCTGATGATGATGACGGTACTGATGATGATGCTGATGGTGTTGATGTTGATTGTGGTGATGCTGTTGTTGATCTTGATGATGCTGCTGCTGCTGCTGATAATGAGGATGACGATGGTGATGATGCTGTTGCTGATGGTGGTGGTGGTGATGACGTTGATGCTGCTGATGCTGATGCTGATGCTGTTGATGATGCTGTTGATGATGCTGCTGATGATGATGCTGATGATGCTGATGCTGATGATGATGCTGCTGATGATGATGCTGCTGCTGATGATGATGATGATGATGATGATCCTGATGATGATGCTGATGATGATACGGATGATGCTGATGATGATAATGATGATGACGATGATGATGATGACGATGATGCTGCTGCTGATGATGATGATGATGATGATGACGATGCTGATGATGTTAAACTCCCAACCCGAGGGACGCGGTCTCAACCCTGGAAACCTGAGCTCTCACCAACCCTGGAACGGCTGTTCCCAAGCCCTGGAAAGGCTGTCCCCAACCTTGGCAACAGAAGTGCCGACCATTGGAAACGGAAAGGCCGAGCAGTGGAAACGGAACCGGCAAGGTGTGCAGGGGTAGTTACATGGGAAGCGTTCTGGGTCGGATATCCGCAGTTTGAGTGAGGTATCGTAGACTTTTTCGAGTGCTTGGTGTTCGGCTGGGTTGGGGTTCTTCATGAGAGGGCGGTGTGTTGTAGTGGCGTAAGGGTTTTGGGAAGAAGCCGAGGGGGGGTCGAGGAGGAGGAGGAGGAGGGGGAGGAGGAGGAGGAGAGGAGGAGGGTGAAGGCGGAGGAGGAGGAGGAAGGAGGAGGAGGAGAGGAGGAGGAGGAGGAGAGGAAGAGGGAGGAGAGGAAGAGGAGCAGGAACAGGGAGGAGGAGATGAGGAGGAGGAGGAGGAGGAGGAGGGAGGAGGAGGATGTAGGGAGGAGGAAAGGAGGAGAGATGGAACAGGAGGAGGAGGAGGGAGATGAGGAGGAGGAGAGCAGAAGGAGGAGGAGGAGGAGGAGGACAGAAGGAGGAGCAGGAACAGGAGGAGGAAGAGGAGCAGGAGGAGCAGGAGGGGAAGGAGGAGGAGGAGGAGGAGGAGGAGGAGGAGGAGGAAGAGGAGGAGGACAGGAGGAGGAGGAGGAGGAGGATGAGGAGGAGGTGCAGATGGAGGGTGGGGGAATGGGGAGGAAGAGGAGGATGAGGATGAGGAGGAGGAGGAGGAGGAGGATGAGGAGGAGGAGGAGGAGGAGGAGGAGGAGGAGGAGGAGGGGGGGGAGTGGAGGACGAGGAAGACGAGGAGGATGTAGGACGACCCACCGACCGATCTACCGACGACGACGACGATCCCCCGACAGCGGACGACGAAGACGGGTACGCGCTCGCGGGTGGCGGAGTTAAACATCGTGGACAAGAGGCGCATCCAACCTACTGCGTCCAAAACCAATCCCGACGGCCGCGACCATTGCGTAATCTAGAATCGCAGCAGCGACACAATAATCAGGGAAATAAGTAAGCTAAAAAAGGGAAATGACAAAACCGAACTCGGTGATTTCCACGCCCACAAGCCTGTTGGTGCCCCGCCGAGGAAGTCACTGGACTAGGTCGGAGCAGCCCGGTCTTGGGCCCCGTTGCAACGTCTCCGTCGCATCTAGCGACCTCATCGGAGCCTTTTTTTCCGCGTTTGCTGCCAGTGTCGAAAGCCGTTTGCCAAAGACAGGAATCCAAGTGATAGTTCGGATTGACGTCTTGGGGGTCTTTGACTAGAACCATCGCGCGCGCGCTTCGCCCGCGCTCACCTTAAACGTGCCATGGGACCAAGGATATAGCGCGTCAGACGGGCTGTGTCCGGATGAACGAATCGTTGGCTTGGAAGCGCACGCCTTGGCCGCTGAAGTCGCACTTAGTCTTGGTACTTACGGCAGTCTTGAACCACATTTTGGGTCATTTGTCCTGGGCCTTCCTTCTGGTCAATGTGGGCCTCAGGGGCTATCTTAAATTTATGCGTTCGCAGCGCATATAAACTTCAGACAAGAAGACAAGGCACGTTGGGTTGGAATGCCTTTGGAATCTTACTTTTGTGGTCCTCTTGGATATCCTGTGTGGGCACTCTGGCGGCTTCGCCAGCCCTCGCTGTACTGCTGCAAACTGTGTGGGGCAGCCTGGGAGCCTCCTGGGACCGTCGCGAGGCCTTCTGGGAACTTCTGCACCTCTCCGGGGACCTCCTTGGTCAACTCATGAGGGTCCTGGAATGCCCACAAAGGAGGGGCGCCACTTAGGGGGCCCTGGGTGCCGCGTGCGTGCTGCGGCCTGTGGCCGCCGGGGCCCTGCGGGCCAGGTTTTCCAACCGCTCCGCCCTGGTTCGGTGATTTCGTCGGCTGTGTGGCGGCGGGGGGGCGCGTGGGGAAATCGCCGAATTAGGGTCTCACCTTTGTTTTTCTTTGTTCCTCCTCCTTCTCTGTCTCCCCCCTCCTCTCTCGTTTTCGCGTTGCCTGTCTGTCTGTCAATGCAGTCTGCCTGTCTCCATTTTGCCTGCCTGCCTGTTTGTCAGTGTCGGGTGCGTCAGCGTACGTGTGAGTGTATGCGTGTGTGTGTGTGTGTGTGTGTGTGTGTGTGTGTGTGTGTGTGCATGTGTGTTAGCATGTGTGTGCGTGCGTCTTGTGGTAGTTTTCTCTCGCTCTTTCTCTCGCTCCCTATATTCTTAAACGTAACTACATAGATACAATGATATTTCGCACTTTCAGTAAGGTTTGGTATGTTCCCCCCCCCCTGTCGCTGCCATTTATAGTTTATATATCGTATCCCTCTGTCTCTCTCTCTCTCTCTCTCTTCACGCTTTCTCTTTACTCTAGGTTTCTCTGTGTGCTTTTCCCTCTCTTCCTTTATCCATCTCTCTCTATACATCTCAATATGTCTCCCGTTCCCTCTTATCAGTCTCTGGCGCTCTCTCTCTCACCCTCACTATCTTTTTGTTTTCTCTCTCTCTCTCTCTCCCTCGCTTTCCCACTCTCTGCCTCTCTCTTTCCCTCTCTGTCTCCCTCTTTCTCCCACAGCGTGACACGTTTCACTCTAATTTGGTGATTGTGGGCCCGGTCTGAATCCACCAGGCAACCAGCGGAAACCACTGTTCTAGGTCGGTGGTTGTCTGCGAAATAAAGGCTCGCACAGGTGGTTCGACCTCATTTGGTGATTTTGGATTTGGTTGGAAGCTACTGGGCTCCTGGTGGAAATCTTCGTTCTATGTCGTTGGTTGTCTGCAAACAGATGGCGTGCACAGGCGGCCCGACTTAATTTGGTGATTTCTGGTCTGCCCGGAATCGCACCAGCAACCGACAGAAGTGACAGTTCCAGGTCGGGCGATGTTTGCCAAGAGATGGCGTGCACACGGAGTCCGGTTTCATTCGGTGATTTGGGGTTCGTTCGGAGCCTATCGAGCAATCGGCAGAG